CCCCTACCCCCGCACGCACACTCACAGTGGTTTGAAAAGGGAACCATGCTATATAATTGTACTGCAATACGACGAACAGGGTGTGAGAGGGAGGGGCAGGTGGGCGGGGAACATGGTGCTCTGTGTAATTAGAATTATATTATTCCGCACTGACAATAGGTGGCTTTTGATAATTCCTCTTTTGTTCCCTTCAGTAAAAAGAAACATTCTGTCACCCTTCCGTTAAGATTCACGGAGCCTTTACAAATAATTTTTGAAATTGCATTTCTTAATCTGTGCTATCGGTTAGTAGCACGTACTTAAGGAATATGTTGTGGAAATTCAAATTCTAATTGCTGAAATAAAGCAAGTAAATGTACAATATGTAGGTTGCTTACGTTTATTGCTTTAAGTTGTTATAATGAATGAAACTGTTTCGTTCTCTTTCGTTTGAAAGCTTTCTGCGCTTTGGACATTAAAATTTGGACCTTTTGCCAACAAAATTATGATCGCATTATCAGCGACGCAGAAGGCTTACATTCGGATGCATTGGTTTACATAGAACTATTCTTTGCTATCACCGCTCAGTGTAGGGATATTCTTTGGTAACTGATGGTACATTTGGACCATATTTTCTTACAATGATAACACTGTAGTTCATAATCAATTAATCTATTTCAACTTTAACATTGTCAAAACAATTTTTTTTTCTGTCCCGTCAGTTACCAAAACTAAACACGTCACAGAATTTGCATAGAATTCTATTTTTTTCAAACGACTGCTTTTAATATGATTCTTAATATCATGTCTTTCAAATATTCTGATCAGTTAAAGTTGAAATACATTGACTGATATTGAGTAACAGTGTTATCATTTTAAGAAAGCATAGTCCAAATGTCACCTCAGTTACCGTGGAGTAACCCTATAGCCAAAGTTGTCCAAGACATGCGCCTCATTGTCGAAGAGAAAAGTGGCTGTCTTTGATATGTGGGCGTCTTGAAAAGATTTGTCTATCGCATGTTTCGTCATTTCCTTTCAAGCTTTGTGTGTGGAATAAGAGAACCAACAGACTAGACGTGTCTTGTCCGAACTGGTGGACACACAATCCGGAAACGAAATAACCTTCTTCACCGCGTCGTATTTTTCTTGAAAAGTGTCGTTATAATGTTAAGGAAAAGTTGCAATTCAGGAAATGGGAACTTGCCGTTTGTACAGATGATTGTCTTGAACAGGTGTCCGCTAGGGTAGGTTCAACTAAACTTCCCCAGTTTTTTGGTCTATACAATACGACCTTTCCAAACACTTCACTTCTCTTCTGCCCTCTGTTCTGTGAAAAGATTATTGTCTTTATCATGGAGATTACAATATTTACTCGGAAAATTCCCTCACAAAGATCTCTGGTGCAGGTCTATAATATTTTATTGTACGCCGAAGACAATACTGCTTTGTTTGGGTATCGACAGGCTGCGCTAATAATAATTTGATGTCCTTTCTTTCCTTTTTTTTCGTCACTCTTTTGTCTGTCTTCCTATATTTTCCAATATCCACCCGCCTACTATTTCCTTTATCAATAATTCCGTCTTTTCTGTTTTCGTCTTTATTCCTTTCCTACTTTTTTGTTGGGTCTTTCCAGTTTCTTAGCTCTCTTCCCGTCCCCTGTCTCAATTCTTTCTCCTATTTTAGTCAGTCTTCTTTTCAGCCTTCTTTCGCCACCCCCACCCCCCCTAAAAAAAAATCCTCTCCTGAGACTCTTTTTCCCTTTTCCCTTGAGTCACGTTTTTCTTTTTTTTAAATTTCTGTTTTCACCTACGTTCTTCAAATCACTCCCCCTTTTTATTCTTTGTTTCCCTCTATTTCAAATCTTCCATTTCCCTGATCTGCCATTCTCTTTCATCTCAAATAAGCTGTTTTTCACCTTCACCGCCCTCACCCTTTTCCCCACCACCACTATGACTACCCCTACCCCTAACAGTGGAAGCAAGCAAGACCAAATAAACAGCTATTCGCTTCCCAAGAGTTACAAAGTTTTATCTGCTCAGTGTATTATGCAGTTTTGAGAAATTTGACGAAAGAAATTTTGAGTTTCACATGTCAAGCGTTTTCCAATGCAATTCTTTGAATAACTTGATAATGACTCCTAATAATCTTACAATTTTGATAGAGTAAACCGAACATTTAGTTTCTGACCTCATGGTATTAGTAACTCGAAACGGCCAAAAATGTCAGATATAACGTTGTAATTTTAAGGTAGCAGATTGGCGTGGTAAGCGTACATAATATTGCACGAGAGTACACTTGAGTCTATGTAGAACACATGGCAAGAAACAGGATTCCAGTTACGTCGCCTATCCAACTATTTGAACGTCTCGCTTTCTCTCTCTCTCTCTCTCTCTCTCTCTCTCCGTCCCCCCCCCCCCCCTTTTTTTTTTCTCCCCTTCCCCTTGATTTTTCTTTATTTACCGCCCTCTCCTTTTGCTCTCTTTCTCCTTCTCCTCTTGTTCCTCCTTTTTCGACTTCTCCTCCCCACCCCCTCCTCCTCCTTGCTCTATCTCTATGTATTTTTAAAAATTAATAGTATACTTTACGACTGCCATGGACATAAATTCCAACCGCTTTCTTCCCCCTAAAGTTAGGACACACTTCTTGCATGTCATACAATTATTGACCAAAAAAAAAAAAAAAAAACTCAACCAAAACAAACCCGAAAGCTTATAGTTTAAGATTTAAAATCAAGTTTATCATGTTTTGACGATACATACCTCATTCGTAACAGAAGCAAAGTTGTAACATTTTCATATATTATTGTTGATTGATTGCT